GCCTACAACAGTGCCATGAGGTTTTAATGCTCTCCTGACAGACAAATGTACTGGGCTCAGATAGACTGATGATCATTGCTTTCCTTTGCAAGGGTAAATCCAGTAAGAAGGTCTCGCTTTTAAGATGTATTTCATTGGAACTGAACCATGGTACTACTAAATACCAGTGGAAGCTTATGTAGATACACATCTCCTTTCCTTTGAGAGCGTCCCCAGAGAGTCTGGGCATTGCTCTCCCTGATGCAGGAGCAAATAGTCCTGAGGCTTGCTCCAGTGACTCCACAATGTCCTAAGGGATCCCATCAGTTCTGCTGCAAGACTGCAGGCAGGATCTCAGGGATGAGCTGCACACTCACGTTTTTGAAGTCGTGGATCTCCAGGATTTCCTCACTGCCATTCCCACTGCTGAAGGTTTCTGTCCTGGCTAGCGGGTCGATCTCCATCACAATCTTCTTCTTCTCACCATTGCTGAAGAAGGTGTGTTCCATGTCATAAACCTGTGAGGGCCAAAACCGCACGGGGGTCAGCTCAGCACTCCCCTGGGTTCACATGCCAACTGGTGGGCAAAGAGGTTTGTGCTGGGTGCATGGTCACTGATGCTGGCTGCCCTGCCATGGGTTTGTCTACTTCCTCACCCCCCAGCTCTAAGCCAGGGCAATCATCTGGATAGCACAAGGAGAGGCAGCTCCCAGGCACCAGAGCTGGGCAGAAGGGCAGGAAGCAGCCAGGATGAGGGGCAATGAGTGTCAAACCTGGGATATGTGTCAAGCCTGGGATATATATCAAGCCTCAGAGAAGATGCTCATCCCACATTTGCACCAGGATTTTTGCCATGCCTGAGCCTTTGCTGGTGCTTTCTGTGGCACAAGCCTGGTTATGTCCCAGGCTGGACTGAAATCCTGAACCCAAGAGGACCTTGTTTCCCCTTCTCTCTGGCTTGCTTTCTCCATCACTGTGTCCCCAGCTCACTCGCTCCATCTCTGCGCCTTCTGTTTTTCCTGGAAAGGCAGAGGTAAGAGCCTCTTTCTGCCTGGAGGAGATCAAAGATTGCCTGTGGATCAAAGACCTCCTCGAGGGCTTGCTGAAGAGCTCCAGGGTGTAGCAGCCACTCATCCCCACGGGGAGCCGGGGGAGCAGCGCCGGGGGGAGCAGCCCTCTCCTCCTTGCAGGTGCTCGCAGCACTCAGCCAGCCCTGCAGCCCTCCAGTCTCTGCGGATGCCTGACCCTTAAGGGATGAGTAGTGGCAGATGCTATTTGAAGCACAGAAATGATCCTGCTGGTGCGGTGAGAGCTGGCGAGCCTTGAGGAGTCTCGTTTCCCAAATCAAACGGTGCTGTGTGGAAGCAAACGGCTTGTGAAAAACTCCTTGAGACCACGGGGCAGGGGATGGGAAAGCTCTGTTCATCCCTCAGCAAGGCTGTGGAGCTGGGAAAGGAGCACCCTGGCCCCACCGGTGAGGGGCAGGGGCTCTGTCTGCAGTGCCAACACAAATCCAGAGTCCGCTGGTTCCTACACATCCCTCCCCATGGTGGGTTTCAAAACCTCTTAGCATTGTTCTCAGCATCAGCATCCTCTGTTTTGCAACTGCCTGGGTGCAGAACCAGCCATGCAGGTGGGAACTACTGGGTACCTTCACCCCTGCTTAAAGGTTAGAGGCGTGATGAGCGCCTTGGCAGGCACGAGCATCTCCTGTTGGTCTGCAGGAGGCTTTTATAAAGATATATAACTCTCAATGGATTTTATGATATGGTAAAAACTGAAGCCTAAAAATGTCTGGAAGGCCACTGTTTTTGACTGACAAAATGCATACAGTGCCATAAATAATTTCTAGGAGGGCAGGATCCCAGGTGGCACCTTACCTTTGAGTGCCTCTCCATTTACAAAGAATTACTTTGGCCAGCGCAGCGACCAGCTAACCCGCTTGGGCTTTGCCAGCTCCATGCTGTTCAGAGAGCTGTGAGATGTTTTATAGGGCTAAAAATGACACTTGCTGGTGAATCACTGAAATATGTCCCCCTGTGAGGCTGTGACGAACCCCTTGTTAGCTGAATCATTGCCTTTGCTGTGCTGGCTGGTGCAGATGCTGCTGTGCAGAGGGCAGTGCCGTGTCCAAGGCCACCCCTCGGAGGAACAACTCTTCTTTCAAGGTTTTTTTCCAGTCTTTGGTGGCACAAAGGGAGCTCGAAGGGCTTCTTGTTCTTTAAAGAGTTGAATTCCCCATGGTTTATACTTTTGAACATGAGGAAATTTCAGCTTCCCCTGTCTTGCTTTTCCATGAGGACCCTGGGCCAGCTGGAGAAGCTGCTGCCCTGCAGCCATGGGGACATGGTGATGTTGGACGCTGGGAGTGTCAGCATGCAGCTCCACTGCAGAAACATCTCTGCTCTCCTGTGACCTTGTGCTCCACTTGCCTGTCTGTCAGGTGTTGGGAAGAGCTTCCAGAAGTACCGATGGACTCCATCCTCCACCAGTGCCCACCAGTGAGGATGCCAAGGGCTAGTGTTCTGGATATTTTTTCTGAGGTTATGCCAATAGCTCTGCACTGTCAGCTCAGAAAAAACCTTCCCTCCAAGGGTTAACAGACTCTTCCCCCCATGTCTGGCATGAGCCCTGTTTTTCTAGGAACAGTAGAGACTTTATAACTGTCTTGGCAAGATTCTGGAGGCACATATGGCTTTTATTGCTTTTTCTTTTATTTTTGAGGGTATTTATTTCTATTTGCTGATAAGAAGACAAAGTTTCCGGCGAGCAGGGTGCTTCCTCTGCCCAGCAGGAGGGCAGCCTGGCTGGGGTGGCGTGGATCTGGCGTGGGGCAGGGAGGAGAGAGAAGATGCCACCGTGGGAAAGAAGTGCCTTGGCTGTGCACAGGAGTTTTGGAGACATTCTTGAGAGTCTGCAAAACCCACTGACAACAGGGTGCGAAGAGAGGCCTCCTGGATGAGCATGGAAATTCAAAGGGGAGCAGGATGAGGAGCACCAGGCAGGCTGTGGCTTCAAGGTTAAGCAATTTGCTTGGGGTATGGGATAGAAAGGGAGGTTTTGGCAGAATTGCCAGGATGATGTGCCACAGTGGGCAGAGGTGGGTGGGAGATGCACAGTCCTGCTGCCACCCTGACATGCTCAGCACTTACAGCAGTGTCTGTCTGGAGCTGGGAATAAACGAGCCCAATCCAGTTAGCAGGAGCTCCTCCAGAAGCTAATCCGTCTCACCGTCCCCTCACATTGCAGACACATTAAAGTAAGAAATATAATCCATGACAATCAATCACCACTGCGTCCTGGCTTTCTCTCCTCTTTATGCGGTGGCATAATGACTTTTCCACCAGTTTCTGGCAAGATAATTGAAATGAAATGGAAAATATTTTCTTACTTGTCATAAAATTTGCTGCCGGTGAAATAAGAGTAACTTTAACTCTTTGTGGTGTAGCTCCATCCCCTGTAATTGTCAACTGGGGAAAGAATGCGGTGACAGGGAAAAAACCTGTATAAAGTAAAAGCTAGTTATGAATAATACAAAGACTTTTTAAAAAGTCCTATGAATACTTGTGGTCTGAAAAAATGCATTTTGTGAAGTTGCCTGGGTTTGGGGGAGTAGTTAAAAGTTTCAGCGAGTCGGCGGGAGGGGGGACACAGCCCTGTCTGGGGAAGGGATGCTCTGAAATGCCGGATCAAAGAGTTTTTACTTACTTTTCTGGGTGTTGGGTTCCAGAGGTATTTGACTCCAAAAAATATCAGAATAAGAGCAAGGAGCAGCGTGCTGAGGAGCAGTCCACAGAGCTGGTACCTGGGGCAGCTCTTCTTCCGCGCCTTGGCTGCTTCTGCCTAATTAACGACAAAACAGCGATTGCCAAGGTGTGCTGAGGATTCGAGGAGGGAGGAGGACACGCACCTATCAGACTCTTAGCATGCTGTGGAGCTGCAGGGTGGCAAGACAAGCCATGAACTTACGTCCAGAAAGCGGCAATCCTGCGGGCTCTCCCGAGCCGTCCCTCCCATGGTCTCCTCCGTGTGCGAGGACGCCAGCGCGCTCCGAGGTGGAGTTAGAGAGGCTCTGGGCTGCACACGCGGTGGGAAGGCTGGGTCACAGCCACCCCCGTGGAGGTGCAGCCAGCTTCCCCCACAGCCTGTGGGGCCCCGGGTGCTCCTGCAGTGCTGCTGTCTGCAAGGCACAACCCATTCCCACGCGGCTGGAGATGAGCCCACGGTGTAGCGTCTATCGGACACATCCAGAGCCATGTTTTTTTGTTTCATTTCCATTTCTGCCATCCATTTTTGCCCATGTACCAATGGCTGGAGGTGTTCAGGCTGTGAAATCACTGCTGGACCCCAGTGGAGCTTGGGGAGGTGGGCACTGGAGTGCTGGTCTCTGCTCGTGTATGGGGAGCTCTGCAGTGGGAGCAGCCTGGGAGCTGCCACTGGGGTCCCTGCATGGCAGGGAGACATGGACGTTGCAGGGGGCAGGTGTGTGTGTGAGCACAGGTGTGCCCGTGTGAGCATGTGTGTCCATACAGGTGTGTGTGCAATGGGTGTTCATGCACATGAGTGTGCATGTACGTGCATGTGTGTCCATACACACGTGTGTTCATGGACAAGGGTGTGGGTGTGCATGTACATGTCTGTGTGTCCATACACGTGTGTTCATGCACATGGGTATGGGTGTACATGTACATGCATGTGTGTCCATACATGTGTGTGTTCATGGGCATGGGTGTGGGTGTACATGTACATGCCTGTGTGTCCATACAGGTGCACATGTGTGTGTGCAATGTGTTTGCATGCACGTGGGCATGGCTGTGCATGTATGTGCACGTGTGTGCACACGCGCAGTGCGTGTGTGGTGTGAAGCCTGAGCTCTCCCCACAGAAGGCTCTGGCATCCCATGCCTGCCTTGTGCAGAGCCTTGCCCCAAAGTCAGCCTAGCCAGGAATTTCCTGACTAATTTTCTTTTTTTTTTTTTTTTTTTTTTGCTATGTTCAAAAATTTCCATTGGTAGAAATTATGGAGTTTCTTCATGGTAATGAACCCATCTTAAGAAAGGCTTTCAGAAATCCGGCATGAGGTTTCTAGTCTGAACAGGATGAGGCTCCCTGGTGTAGAGGAGTTGGCATGGACTCTTTTTCCAAGCTGTTTACTCTAATAAAAACCCAGAGTGCATCATGCACTAATTAAAATTGCACTGAAAAAAAAAGAAAATCCACATTGACTTTTGCTTAGGATGAGAAATGGAGAAAGAAATTGCTTTTAGCAGGTCCGGCGCCTGCTTTGTGAGCACTGGGACATCACTCCCTGCAACCTGGGGGTAAATCCTGGAGGGCCAGAAGACGAGATGCTGATTAGCTTGGGAAAACATTGTGCATGTGTGTGCTGGGGGTGTGTGCCCTGGTGTGTATTTGCTCCCTGCAAAGGTGTCTGGGCTCCCTGGCCCCGGGGCAGCAGGAGCTCCTCAACCCACAGCCCCGCAGCAAAAACACACTGGGGGGGGGGATGTTTAATATTTGAGATGCCAGTAACAGAAGGGAATCATATTGACGAGGTTATTTGGAGGAGAAAAATCCCTTTTTAATGGAAAGCAATTGCAAGCAGCCTTTGAAAACATCTGAGAGATTTTGGAAATCTAAATACAGCAAATCTGTGCAGACACCAGGTTTGTCTGTCTCCACTTCTCACCAGAAAGTTCCACCTCAGAAGCTTTTGTTATTCACTGGAAACTGAAGTATTTGAAAACATTTTCTTTTCTTGTCAAAATTAGAGTTTCAGAGCAAAACTTTGGAGCAGCTCTACTGAAAGATGGTTCTGATTACAGGAAAGAATTACAAGCAGTGCCGTTAAGCAGACGTAATTGATCAGCAGAGCAGATCTTCACCATATCCCCCACTCAAGGCACAGGAAACACTGCAAATACCACTCGTAAACCAAATTAGGCATTATTATTTTATTACTGTTGTAAGGTAAATGTCAAGCTTTTTAATGGCAATCACTGTAACTCCGTCAGGAGTCGGGCGTCTGAATTATCTGGAAGAGGTGAGAATCTCCCAGGGCTGGGAGTTAATAAAACTCAATAAATATCACCAGTCCCTTCCAGTGCTTGGAGTGTCTGGGGTGAGTGGAGAGGGTGTGGGAGGATCCTGCAGCTGAGCTGGAGACCTTGGTTTGCTGCAGCCTGCAAAATTGGGCAGTGCTGCCCAGGTGGGATGGGGAGCAATGGGAGTGACCACTTACAACATATGTTTACACGTGCATAGACTCCCATGCACATGGAGCCCCAGCCCCAGCTCAGCACTGCATGCCCTGGGCCCACGCAGGGCAGGGAGCAGGATGAGATCCCTCCACACTGCTGCTCTCCCTAGACAATGTTATGAATACCCAGCCTTGAACTGGGGGGTTGACAGCAGCAAAACCCTGTGCAACCCCAATTGTCCTGCCCTCAGCAGCTGTGGGTGTGCAAGCCCACTGCATCCCAACAAGGAGATGAATAGTTGGGGTGCAGAGAGGGGCAGAAACTGCAGGATGACACTCATCAAGAATGTGGGGTTTTTTCCTCCCCATTCCCTAATTCTCAGCATTGAGTGATTCAGAGAAAACCAAAAAAGGTATTTTTTTTATGAAAAGACCACAATTTTGGGGGAAAACCCCTCAACCTCTTTAAGATGACAATCAGGTTCTCCATGTAAGAAGCAGTTCTGATGAAAATCTCCCATCAGTGCCAATGAAGAGGGAACAATCACTAATTTTCCTTGAAGCTAATGAGCGCGAGTGTGTATGACAGGGGAGAATTTAATCTGATGCGAACTGAGGAAGAGAAGCAATACTGATATTAATGTGTGACTAATTGATACCCAGAAGAACATTTGAAATGATTAAAAGGCATTTGATTTTTATACAGGACAATAAGAGGCTCATTGGCTATGAGTGGTGCATCCTTTCACTTTTCTACTCCTTGTTCCAATTTGCTCAGAAAAAAATCTATCATATCCGCAGTGTAGCTTGACTTGCTGCATAAAATCTCTGTGCTTGGAAATGTTACACCAAGAGATTCCTCCTGGACAGCACGAAGGATCGTACACGGTATGAGCGGGGGTGAGAAGCCTGGTAGATATAAAATAGGTCCCTGAACCACTAAAAAGCAGCTCCCCAAAGCAGTGGGGCTTGGGCAGCAACCTCCAGCTGAAACCCCTCGTGATTAATATCGTGCTCTTTGTTATAATGAAAAACCCATTAAGGTCAGTGGCAGCATCTCTGAGCAGCACTAAATTGGAAGGATGGAGACAGTAAAGTTAAAAATGAGCCATAATATTAATGTGGATAGTGAATTAATTAGGCAATTCCATAGGTAGTAAGTAAATCATATCATTTACTGTGGAACTCAGTGCCACGCGGCTCTCACTGCTGGGTGGTGTGGTGGCATCTTCTCCTGGACAGAGCCAGGGGAGTGACACAGAGCTGCAGCACCTGATGGACCCTGCTGTGTCCACCCCCACCTGCCTTTGTCCCTTCTCCATGGCTGCCACTGCAGGGTCTCTTAATAGGAGAAATGCCTCTTGCTTTGCTCTTTTAGGTGCTCCAGCCCCAAAACACATCCAGAGTGCTGGCTGACAGTTTGCCTGAGGTGCTGCATCCATGGTCCAAGATGCCTGTCCCTTGATCCTCAGCTGTGTCTGTCTTCTGGTCCTGCAACCATGGACCGAGTTGTTTGTTGTACATGGACCAAGTAGTCTTCATCCATGGTCCAAGGTGTCTGTCCCCTGGTCCTGCAGCTGTGGTCCAAGGTGTTTGTCCCCTTTGCAGTTGTACCCACAAAGCTTTGAGCAGACTGCCAATAGACTTATGGAATGGGTATTCTCCTGATCTGGGCGGGTCTCTCAGAAAAGGCTTCCTTGCTGTCAGGAGATGTGTAGTGCCACTACACAGCCCTTGACCTTCTGCTGCTGCTTTTGTGACTTGGACTGGGACCCACTGGGAGGGCAGAGGGCAGGGTGAAGAGTGTAACAGGGTGAAGAATTTGCATGCATGTGGGTCAAGCTGCTAGCTCCCTCTCCACTTCCAACATCCCAGACAGCAAACAGAGAAAGGGATACATACATATAAAAGAAGATTGCTCATTATCCAGTGCCTGATTACACAGAACTGTCTCTGCTTCAAACTGTCCCATTTTCAGTAACATTTGCCAGATGAGAGGACTTGTCCCTCCTCTTATCAACGAGCCACATATGGCCTCAGCTGAAGGTTTCAGTAAGGGAGGTTTCAGTAATTGGCCTATTCATCATTCATTGTTTATCTTAAGTTCACATCATCGTAGGGAACTCCAGAGACATCCTTGATTTAAGTTAAGAAACTTAATCATTATGATAAAACTGCTCAGGGAGTTGGAGTTCCTGTTGGAGACGCGCGTGGCCATGTGGCACTCCGGCAGCCGCGACTCACAGCAGATTATTCAAAACTGACAAAGCTTTTTGGAGAGAACAGAGAAAGATAAATTCACGGTGGCCGTTCTGATGGAGGCGCTCAGAAAGTTATTACCGAAGACACATGCTTCTCCTTGCTCACAGCCCATGAAATATCCTGCTCCTCCGAGCCCAGGGGACGGCTGCCTCATTGCTGCTGTTGTGACTCCCTCGTCAACAGAAGTTATTAACGGCGCCGGAGAATTTTATCCAAATGCCAGTTTCATCTTGATAAATAACAATTTCATGTCTCTGTTCTACCAGATGACTACACGGTTTTATTTCAAACACTTAACTTCTTCCCAAATGCTTCCCCCATGCACAAGGCTTAGCTCAGCTATAGAATTTGTGTGCTGAGCAGTTTTTATTTTCACCAGGTTCTGAATACCTGTAATGCAAAGACCAGACCCATAATCCCACACTATCGTAAGTCACTTCTCCCAATAAAGAGCTGCTTCCTGCTGGGAGTACTAAAATGTAATTGAATGCTACGTGTGTGTTGGTGTCACACCGAAAAGACTTTTATTAAAAATAGTTTGAGGGTTGTTTAGGTCT